GGGCTTCTTTTGGTGTTGATGTAAAAATAGGAACAAAAGGCATAACGAGGAGTCTTAGAAATGGCATGGGGTCACTGTTGAGTTTTTATGGGGAAGAAAGATTTTATGCTTTCAAGGATGCCCAGGGAGAGGTGAATGTATCTGTGTCCTGTTTTGCCTTACTCAAAGAAAAGTGTTTTTTAAATGACAGTTTCCTTTCTGTTTCAAATGATGAGATTAAAAATTATTAGTATTAATAGTAGCATTCCATTGCTACTAAACTTGATAGAACACTTAATAGTGATTCGCAACTTCGTACATTGGAAACATCTGTGGATCCTAACTCCAGATGATGGGGGGGTGACCTGAACATTTGGGCTTTTAAAAACCTCCCCAGGTGATTTTAATTTGTAGCCAAGATTGCGAACCACTGCCTTTTAGAAATAAACTTATTTTCCAAATGAAATTCACTATTGTTTGGCATAATTTCTGAAACAATTCATTTAGTATTGTACTATTATTTCATAAGCAAATCTTTGACTTAAAAATTTTAGAGCTGTTTGGCTTAAGTAAAAATTTAATCTGCTCTCATCCAAATGAAAGATCCTACAGGTAATGGAAACCACAGCAAATTATCTAACCTGTCTAAACCTTGGTTTGTTCATTCTTTCTGTACTGCAACAATGAAAGCCAGCCTTAGCTTGATGGGGGAATATAAAGGAGGTAATGTAAAAAGTAATCTATCATACTGAGCCAAGTGTCAAAGCAAGCCCTGACCACAAAAGGAATACGTAAAAGTGAAAAGCTTGAGCTCTGACTACAAAACAAGTGAAAGTGAAAAATTTATACTTTCTTTAGGTACCTATACGTGTATTTTTGGACCTATCCTCATTGTCCTGTATACCTTTAAGCAAGCCAGTGGAACTCTTAAGGCTAGATTTAATGACTCCATATTTGAACACCTCTAACAGAGAAGTAAAGGTAAGTACAACACAAAAAATGATTTTGTTTAAAATAATTAACTTAGGTAATACTTTGTATACATAGTTTTAGCTACTTTAAAGATTTAAATCTTATTTTCTAAACAATATACAAAAATGGATATAAGTAAATATTAGTGAATAAAATAGGTTAATATTAATACAAATTGGGTGTGAAATGAATTTTAAAATAATTTTTTGTATTTAAAAGTAAAAAAAGACTTATCTAAGTCTTCTCTATGTACTCTGATATTTTCATAATTTCTTAATTTTCATAGGTACACGTTTGTAAATCTGGAAGAGTGACGGCTGTTCCATTTTGGTATCATATGTACCTTGATGAAGAGATTTGGTTGGATACTTCAAGTGAAGCCTCCCACTGGAAACAAGCTGCAGTTGTTTTAGATAATCCCATCCAGGTTGAAATGGGAGAGGAACTTGTACTCAGCGTTCAGCACCACAAAAGCAATGTCAGCATCACAGTAAAGCAATGAAGAGCAGTTTTTCAATGAAAACTGTTTAAATACAGCATCAAGTACAAAAATTCTTGTTTTAATTACTGGGAGTATATAAAAATTCCTTGTAATGGTCAAATATTTTAAAAAATTGACATTAATAAAGCATATTTTAAAAGATCCTAAAGAGTAGCATTATTATAGAAATACTGCTGCAGACTTGCTTTCTAGAAAAGGATACATCACTAGTTTTTTGAATTAGGAAACTTTTTTTGCTTGACTTTATGGAATAAGGATTTTAATAGTCTCATTTTATTGTCATGTGTCAGTAAACAAAACTTTAAATTTGTAGGCATCTTGGCCTTTTTTCTTAAATCCAAACTTGCAATTGGGAAACACTGAAAGGCTTCCAGTGAAGACTGAGGGCTATGGTTAACTGTAAATTCTGCTTGCTTCCTTTAAATACTTAGTGTACATCTGAAACATTTCAGGTTTTGTTTTGAGAATGCAAACGTGAATAAGAATTTAAGCTATAAGCTAAATGTAATTAAAACAGTAAAGGTGTCAGGGAATAAATCTTTAGGAGGCAACATTTTTCTTGGTCTTCTTTGGCAAAAGAACATTTAAAAGCTGGTAACAAAGCAAAATTAAATTGAAGAAAATTAATCCTAAACTATTTTTCAAAGTTTTGATTTGGATGCACAGTAAGTATATTAATTGATCCAATTTTTATAGACTTTTGAAATAAAGGAAGATCATTATCATGCCTCCTATATGCTGTATGCTCTTTGTAAGTCACAAAGAAAGTAAGACACATCTTTGCTTCAGACTACCTATTCTCGTTATCTCTATTGTTATACTACCCAGCTTTATTTTTAAAATAAGTTTTATTGCATACATTTAAGGTATATGAGGTGAAGCAAAGTAATATATCCATCATCAGTTACCCATCTATTTTTTGTTCTTGACAAGAGCAGCCAAAATCTACTCATTTAGCATGAATCCCAAATACAGTACAATTTTATTACCTAAAATCCTCATCCTCATATTGTACATTAGATCTCTAGACTTGTTCATCTTCCGTATCTGCTACCTTGAATCCTTTGAGCTATACTTCCCCATTCCTCCCAGCCACCCATAACCAGTTTTGTTCTTTATATATATATATTTTTAAGATTCCACATATATGTAAGATTGTACAGTATCTTTTTTTCTGTCTGGCTTATTTCATTTTAGCCCAGTGTCCTTCAGGCCTATGCATGTTGTAGCAAATGGCAAGATAACATTGGTTTTTTTTTTTTTCGGGCTGAATAATATTCCGTTGTGTATATGCACATATATATATACACAGTTTCTTTATTCATCTGTCAACGGACAATTCAGTTGTCTCCATATGTTGGCTACTGTGAATGCTGCAATGAACACAGACCGCAGATATATTTACAAGGTGGTGATTTCATTTCCTTTGAGTATATGCCCAGAAGAGGGATTGCTGGATCGTATGGTAGTTTTATCTTTCGTTAGAAACTTCCATTCTGTTTTCCACAATGGCTGTACCAATCTACATTCCCAGCAATAGTGCACAGAGTTCCTTTACTCCACACCATCGTAACACTTGTCTTTTTTTTGATAATAGCTAGCTTAACTGGTGAGAAGTAGTAGTTCAGAGTAGGTTTGACTTGCATTTCCTTGATGATTATGTCGAGCACCCTTTTCTATACCTGTTGGCCATCTCTGTCTTCTTTGGAGAAATGTCTATTCAGGTCTTTTGCCCCTTTTGAAAATTGAGTTGTATGAATTCTTTATAAATTTTGGATATTAACCCTTTTTCAGATGTATGGCTTACAAATATTTTTTATTCAATCTGTAGGCTATTGTTTAATTTTGTTGACTTTTACTGTCAGAAGCTTTTTAGTTTGATGTAGTCACATTTGTTTTTGCTTTTGTTGACTGAGCTTTTGGTGTGATATCCAAAAAATCATTGCCAATGGTCAGTGTCCAGGAACTTTTCCATGTTCTCTTCTAGTTTTATAGTTTCTGTTCTTACATGTAGGTCTTTTATCCACTTTGAGTTGACTGTTTTGTAGGGCTAAGGGTCCAATTTCATTGTTTTGGATGTGGAAATGCAGTTTTCCCAACACCACTTAATGAAGATTGTTCTTTCCCTGCTGTGTCTTCTTGGTGTCTTTGTCAAAAGTTGGTTGACCCTATATGTTTGGATTTATATCTGAGCTCTTTATTCTGTTCCACTGGTCTATGTATGTGTTTTTATACCAGTACCACACTGTTTTGATTACTATAGTTTTGTAATGTAATTTAAAATGAAGAAATGTGTGCCGGGCGCGGTGGCTCAAGCCTGTAATCCCAGCACTTTGGGAGGCCGAGGCAGGTGGATCACGAGGTCAAGAGATCGAGACCATCCTCGTTAACATGGTGAAACCCCGTCTCTACTAAAAATACAAAACATTAGCTGGGCATGGTGGTGCGTGCCTGTAATCCCAGCTACTCAGGAGGTTGAGGCAGGAGAATTGCCTGAACCCAGGAGGGGGAGGTTGCGGTGAGCCGAGATCGCGCCATTGCACTCTAGCCTGAGTAACAAGAGTGAAACTCCGTCTCAAAAAAAAAAAAAAATTAGGAAATGTGATGTCTCCAACTTTTTTCCCTCAGTATTATTTTGCCTATTCAGGGTCTTTTATGGTTACATACGAATTTTAGGATTTTTTTTTTCTATTTTATAAATAATGCCATTGTAATTTTGATAGGATTGCATTGACTCTGAATTGCTTTGGGTAGTGTGACCATTTTAACTATTAATAATTTTTCCCATGAGCACAGGATATCTTTCCATCTATTTGTGTCTTTAATTTCTTTCATCAATATTTCATAGTTTTCAGTGTACAGATAGATCTTTTACTGCCTTGATGTTAAATTTATTCTTAAGTATTTTTTTTATACTATCATAAATGGCATCTTGCTTTTTCAGTTCGATCATTATTTATGTATAAAAATGCTAGTGTTTTTTGTATGTTGATTTTGTATTCTGAAACTTTACTGAATTCACTTGTTCTAACAGATTTGTGTGTGTGTGTATCTTTGGGGTTTTTACATATAGCTCACTTTTACTATTAATAGAAATGTTTATAATAGTGGACAGAAAAAAGACTGTATAATTGTGAACCACTATATATATATATATATATATATATATATATATATATATGGAGCAAAGGTTTTGAGAAACAATACTTATCTTTGCTTTCTGTAACATACAATGCATTTTCTATTTTATTTTCATTATAAAATGTCAAACATGACCCAGTGGGGTTGTGATAAGCAATTCGAGAAACCCCATCCTAGGTAATAAAGTTTTCCCAAATAGCACCTACATGTCTTCTGACTGTGGTTTCATGAGTAATTAAGACCACTCAGCCAAGATTTACATTTGCTGCCACCTTTAATAGCACTGATGAAAAGTAGTACTTTTTTTTGGACTGACTTCTTTTTCACTGTGCCTCTAATCAAGAAATTTTTGTTAAAACATTAAGAGTTTATGTTTAAAGAATGAGACATAAAAATGTTGCAGAAAATAAATGATAAATTCTTATTTATTGAAAGACATTCATTTGAGAAATAGAGATATAATTGTTTGTTAGGTGAGCTTATATGGCACATGATTAAGTTCCACTAATTTGTATTTCTGCATTATGCTTTCTGTTAATTCCAGAGCATTATATTCATGCAGCAGTGGTAGGAAGTACTGATTTTTTAAAAAAATGTCCATCCTTTTGATAAAGCAGTGTAACATCAGGAAGATTTAGTTGGGGTCATTGTCTGCCATTTGAGTATGTGATACTCGAATGTTAAGAAATCAAGTCTAAGTCTAGGAAATTTAGACCAATTATTTTTGATATACAAAACTTACATATATAAATCCAGTAGTTGTACCTGGCTTTCAGCTATTTTTGTGTTGACATTTTCCATCTTTTATGGTTTGTACCAAGCACAAAATCCATGGGATACCAGGTAATGATATAATATAGTAGTTTTGCACAGTTTGCTTTTCCATACTGTTCAGGAATCCACGGATTTATCTGAAGATTCTTTTTTCTCTCCTATAGTATCACTAAGTATTTCATCAGATATCTTAGCTGTAGTAGGTGTAGTCTGTGGAGTCACAGTGTGTCCAAACCCTTGGTAGTGACCCATGGGTGAAGGTGGCATAGAAGAAGCAATGGAAATTGCATCTTGTGATGATGATGATAATAGGCTTGTATGTTCATCTTGATCCTCGGGAAACAATTTTTTCCTGGGATGTCCCCTGACTGTCTGTCCTTTAAAATAAAGTTTTCTATGTTAGTCAAAAGTTATTTTTATCATTATAACTTACCATTCTAAAAATACGCTCCCCACTTCCCCCTCTCCCACTCCCCAGAGTTGATGAGCCTGGACTGTGGTACTGCTTTAAAGCGTTTTTTCATCTCTAAATAGCTACTAAATTGCTCTAGTAGGAGAAATTCAATATCCTACCTTACTTATTTGGTTTAATTTTAAATAGCTGGTACTTACCAACATGCCTTACTTGTTCAGAAATATCATCTGTAATATCTGAGACATCCCACATGGCAAGAAAGGAATCAAAGCATGAGCCCTCTTCTGCTTCTTGGACATATGGTTTATATGAGAATGTGTAATGATGAGCAATGGCAGCGAGGAACATCTCAATACAGATAATAAAGTCCTGTAACAACAACAACAACAACAACATCAGCCATCTTTGGGTTTAAATTTAGTTTTGTAGAGTGCTATCTTTCTCTACTTTTCAAAAGTGCTAAGATAAACAGCTGTTTACTTCTTCTCAGATTATATTCATTTTTCAGTTTTCTAAAATAATTATTTTTGACCTCTTCAGAAAAAGACAAAATGTCAAAATGTAAATCTGTTTTGCACTTCCTCAAGTAGCAGCTTTGAACTCCTGCCCTCAAGCCATCCTCCCACTTCAACCTTCCAAGTAGTTAGCAGTATAGGCAAGTGCTGTTGTGCCTGGCTAAGTGTTTAATTTTTTAATTTTTTGTAGAGATGAGGTCTCTCTTTGTTGCCCAGCCTGGTCTCAAATGCCTGGAGTCAAGTCATCCCCCCAGTGTTGGCCTTAGAAAGTGCTAGGATTACAAGTGTGAGTCACTGCACCTGGCCAACCTCAAGTATTTCTTAGCAAAGTACATTTCATTCTCAATCACATCAAGTATATTGTATTGCACCACCCAAAGATTACAAGGAGAAATGCAGAAAGAGAATTAGATATAGGAGTAATAAAATCCAAGTTTTATTCATGGCTCTGCTACAAATCAGTAAGTATGGCCAGTTTCCCTAGGGTTCCCCTGTTTTCTCACCTGAAAAGTGAGGATTATAGCCCCATACCCTGTGTGTTGTCAGGTTTAGGGGAGATATATAGAAATGCTTAACAAATAGTGAAGTTCTACTGAATTCAGAGATGGCACTACTTACCTGGAGTCCTGTGGCCACAGCTTCTACAGTTTGCCATTCCCACGTATGCTTTTCAGAAATAACGCCAACTTTTACCAACAAAGCAATAACTACTGCTTGCCTATATGTTAGGAAAAGGTAAATGCCAAATCTATATCAAGCATAAAATGAGCAGTAGTTTTAAAAACGTGCCATTAAAAAAAAGACCCCAGCGTAACCTGTGGACCACCACCACCCTGCCTTGACGGCATATTGCTGAAGAAACTGTATCTATGTTAAATATATTAATTTGCCTTACAAATTTATTTTTCTAGTACAGTTTTGTCCCAAGATAGGGAGTGAAGCTGAGCATTTCAAACAAATCTAGAGATAATGGACCCAGGTAAAATTTAAACAGCAAATAATGAAATAGACACACTTCCGTAGTTCTATATACAAGAATATTCACTTCAGTGTTTCTTGTATGGTCAAAAAATTAGGAACAACCTAAATATCAAAAGGAGATTAGTAAAAAGTTATATCCACATAACAGAATACTAAGCAAAAGTAAGCAAACAAACAAAAAACCCCACAAAAAATACCCACCCCTTGCCAAACAAAATTTTATTTTTCTTTACTGACAAATAACTACATCTACAATATACTGTACACGCTGTCGAATTCCACAGACTTTCTCTGGAGTTTTATATGTAACACAGGTTTACCAAAATGTTAATCATTCTTCTCTGGGTGGTGGGATTTCAAGGATTTTTCTTTTTCCCTTTTTGTATTATTTCTAGCTGTTAAATTTGGTGTATTTGTTTCTAGGATCCCTATTACCCACCTCTTTATAAATTTTTTTTGTTCTTTTTTTGAGATGGGAGTTTCACTCTGGCACCCAGACTGGAGTGCAGTGGTGTGATCTTGGCTCACTGCAACCTCCACCTTCTGGGTTCAGGTGATTCTCCTGCCTTCCCTGCCAAGTATGTTAGGATTACAGGTGCCTGCTACCATGCCCGGCTGATTTTTGTATTTTAGTGAGATGGGGTTTCACTGTGTTGGCCAGGCTAGTCTTGAACTCCCAACCTCAGGCGATCCACCCGCCTTGGCCTCCCAAAGTGCTGGGATTATAGGTGTGAGCCGCTGCATCCTCTTTATTAAATTGAGACTATGTATAGTTTTTCTTCTGTTTTAAAAATATTTACTGATTATTTCCCCATATTATTAAATATTCTACATCATGCTTTCTTCCAAACTGCATAGTATTCTATTATATGACAGGGCCATGATTTATTTTAATAATTATTCTAGTATTGAGATATTTAGGTTGTTTCAAACTTTTTTCTTCATATAAATGAAGTGACCATCTATTTATTTTGAAAATCCTAGAAGGGCTAAAAGGATGAACTTTTTAAAAAATAAGTCGAGACATTTTAATCCATCTACCGCATTAAGACTATGTTTAAAAATCATCCTTATTAACCATTTTTATTGCCCTTCAGAAAATGAGAACATTTAAAAGAAATTAACACTTACCAAAAAGAAACAAAAACCACCAGCTTTACACAAAGAAATTTGCCAACAGGTTGGATTGGGCTCAGTTCTTCCTTTAGTACTTTATAAAATAGCAGGAGACAATACATGGCAAACTAGAAACAAGATTAACATTTAAACTTCTTCAGTAAGGATAGATATGGTAATATAAATATTAAAGTTACATACCACAGACCTGGTACAGAATTACGTTTCAGGCAAACTTTTCTGGGCTTTATTATTCTATTTTTAGATTAACAAGCTCTTATAGTTTATTATAGATTAATATATACTATATACAACATCTTTCTGAAAAATGTTTTTAAGTGTTCACTTCCTGGGTTCCATAAGGGAACAGTAAACAAATGACTGACATAAATGGAAGAAATGGCTCTTGTTCAGCTAAAATAAAAAACATCCATCTGTTGTAATGGCTTTTAAACATAAATGACCACTAATTTTATAAGACTTTAGCTTATTAGCTAGTCTATCCTATGTCACTAAGGTAACGCATTAAACAAGTACAATTTCAATAAAAATGGTGACTGAAATCTGAATGTAAAGAATCAATGAAACAATTTTTCCTGAGGGTAGTGTATTAGTGCAGCTAGATTTATTTTTAAATATGAACAAGACTTATTAACTATTTTTAGAAATCTGTAATAACCTAGTGTAGTGCTGAATAACAATAAACATTTTCCTGAAAGTTCACTTTTCCCCATTAAAATAATATGAAATGCTAAATTTATTTTAGAATATGAAAGTAGTAAACAAAGAATAAAGTTTTTCATGGTCTCCAATCATCCTTTGTACAGATAAGCCAGTTTGTAAATTACTGTCATGAATTAATTACAAATTTTTATTGCCTAATGTTTTTTCCACTTAAAATACCTAAGTTCTATATGTTTCATCAAGCTTATTTTTAATAACTGCCTAATGTTTTGGTCAATGGAAAGATCATAGTGTATTCAACTAGTACCCATCACTGGTTTTTGGATTGCTTTTAGCCTTTTGTGATTTACAAGTAGTAAGCTTTATATACAAAGATACTTTAGGCAAACATACTTCTGAACATTTCTTTAGAATACATTCCCAGAAACAGAATTACTGGTTCCAAAGAGGATAAATATATGGGAAAGCTTTGGCTACATGGACATTTAATTTTTAGTATAAGCTCTAATACCAAATGTGCACACCACTGCATCTAAATTATTTTGCTGAAAGCATTAGCCAAAGAATTTAAATAAAATGCATATTTTTTAAAGCTCATAAGATCAAATAGAACATTACATCATAGATCTTTGGAACATTACAGTTTCTAGAATATCATCTATTTTTTTAAATTTGGCATTCTCTCAATTTTCCTTTTATTCCAAATATATAACAGAGAATTTTATTCTTGCATGTTAATTCAAACTCCATACCGTCAAATACCAATTTGATATTTTCTCTTCTGAATATGCTCAGTATATGTGGGTGTGTTGTGTGTACGTATTTTTTTTTTAATGTAGCACTGTGTTTTTATGACATATAGCTATGCAATAAGCAACATAAATAAACATGTTCAACATGTGAGGGTATAAGTCACCAAATAATAACAAAGACATTATTATATGTTTATATATGTATTAAGATGTATATTAAAGTTTTTTTCAAGTCTTCCTATAAATCTTCCTATAAATTAAATTTCAAATTAAATTTATATTTGAAAAATTAAAAAATTTCAAATTTATAGAAAGATTAAAAAGAAGCAAGCCTTAAGAAACTCTGTCTAAAGAAATTTATTTATAGATACTAATTTAGTACAGTTAAGAAAAATGAACATTTACTTACCAACTGTGACATGTTATTTATTATAACCAAGTAAGTCCAAGCATTTGAAAAGCTAAAGTTCCCTTCGTCATATATGCCAAGCAGCTCACAGATTCTAAAAAATTAAAAATGAGATATCTCTATATTTAACTAAATCAAAATTGCACTTTAAAATACAGCAATAGCAATACTTAAATTTAGAAGTCAGTTTATTTGAGATCCCATTGACAATCACTTGACTTTGGACATAGAGAATTTAGAAGTCAGTTTATTTGAGAGATTCCATTGACAACCACTTGACTTTGGATATAGAGGTGGTTCAAAAATGAAAAGAAACCCATTTTTCTAGGCATGTTACCATATGTTTGTTCCTTCATCTTGAAGGAAATTCCAAATAAGACACATAACAGTAAACCAGAAAGAGTACTAAATTTTAAAAAACCAACTATGCTGTCTAATTTTGGGAAAGCTTGATTGTAAAACACAATATAATGCAGGTGTATGTAACTGCAGTTGTTAATTTTTTCCCCTCAATTGTCTTGGAGGTAAATTTTATGAAGACCCAGATGCCTTCAAATAAATATTACCATCAGTATTATTAGAATCTTACCCAATTTCTAAGCTGCAGGGAAATAAAGCATGCCTTCATAATTAAATGGCTAGCTCAAAGGCAGAATAAAGAATTTTTTCACCAGTCTTTCTTTTCACTTTTCCTCTGTGAGCAAGAAGAATGTTAGTAACAACTAAGAGATAAAACATGTACTCTATTGGCATTAAAGTATTTGATGTTTTTGAATTTTTAGGAAATAGTTTTGTCAGGTAGCTTAATGATAACCCATTTAACTTCAATTCTAAGCCTTGACAATATATTAAAAGAAAATATGACTTCTTTCTCAGAGTGCTTCTAATATATTCTATTTTATGTAGAAAATAAAACTGGAATGAACTTAAAGTAGCATACTTTAACTTCAGGCAATAGGGTTTCTGTTGTAAAGCTATGTATTTGAAAAAGAAGGCATTTTTTTTTTCTTTTTTTCAAAATGCTTTACAGCAAGCTAGCTCTAGAGAGGATGTAAATATTTAGAAGACCCCTGTGATGACTCTTTGCCTATAAATGGTCATGTCATTCATTTTAATAGAGTAAATTTCTATATAGTGGTTTTTTTTTTTTTTTTTTACAACAGACTAGACTTGCATTATAAATAAGCACATTAACACTGTGTTTTCTAAGTTGTTTCCACATAAGAGCACAATGATTAAAAAAAAAAGTTCATATAAAATCCAAGTACTTACAAAGCAACGATGGTGGTGAAAGTTCTGACAACTGTGTACTGCAATACACCTAGTTTGCACCTAGACAGCAATACTCTGTAAAAGAAAAAGAACTTAAAATTTCAACTACTTATTAAATAGCATGAGATTTTTCCCAAAGCCTCCAAATTAAAATTACTTTGATGAATGATACCATATTTATAGTTAATTCTTTCAATTTAGTCATCCTTAATAACAGTGGCAGAAGAATGTGGATGGCAGGAAACAAAGTATCTAAATGCCATTTTTTTTTTTTTTTTTTTTTTCCAGAGATAGGGTCTTACTCTGTCACCTAGGTTGGAGTGCAGTGGTGTGAACATGACTCACTGCAGCCTTGATCTCCTGGGCTCAAGAGATCCTCCCAGCTCAGCCTCCTGAGTACCTGGAACTATATATACATACCACCACACCTGGCTAATTAATTTTTTTGTTGACATGGGGTCTTACTGTGTTGCCCAGGCTACTCTTGACCTCCTGGGCTCAAGCGATCCTTCCACCCCAGCCTCCTGAGTGGCTGGGACTATAGGTGTGTGCCCCCACAGCAGCTATTTTAAAATTTTCTGTAGAGATGTGGTCTCACTGTGTTACCCAGGCTAGTCTCAAACTCCTGGGCTCAAGCAATCCTCATGCCTGTAATCCCAGCACTTTGGGAGGCTGAGGTGGGTGGATCACTTGAGACCAGGCTGGCCAACATGGCAAAACTGTCTCTACAAAACAAATAACAAAATTAGCTGGGCTTGCTGGCACATGCCTATAATCCCAGCTACTTGGGAGGCTGAGGCATAAGAATCGCTTGAACCTGGGAGAAGGGTTGCAGTGAGCTGAAATCGTGCCACTGCACTCCAGCCTGGGTGACCAGAGCAAGACTCTTTATCTCAAAACAAAACAGTAACCTTTGAAAATTAAATATGGACACCTGTTTTCTGCATAATATCCTACAAATGGTTTCTCATTTGATAAAGACTCTCATTTACCAAACTTCAGGCAAGCCTCTGACTCCTCTTTTCATCTCCTCTTCATCCTTGGGCCCTGTCCTTGGTCTGTAAGTCAGTTTAGAAGAATCTTGCTAAGTCATTCCCCAGCCCCTTTTGTTACCTGATCACCTTTAATATCTGATCAAATTCCTCAGCCCCCACCCTTGAAGACTAAGCCCTTGGCCTGCCTTTGGCAAGAATCCTGTTCAGTCAGTTTGATGAGAATCCTCCTAGCCCTGATGTCCCCTCTTCATAATTTTGCATTCACTGACCCCCTCAACATCCTCTATCTATAAATGTCCATTTGTCCTGTTGCCTTCAGAGTTGAGCACAATCTCTCTCCCCTGATAACCAATCTACATTAATTTGTCTTTACTATTCTCTCTCACGGCCTCCTGTTCTTTTTCCTTCATTGCGTTTTCTGAAATAAGTAACTATATATTTGTGCCTTCATTTAATTCCTAATTCTCCTAACCAAACTAAGTTCCATGAGGTCTATGTCTGTTCTGTGCACCAGGATCTATATTTATACTAGCACATACTTGATGCTCAATACATATTTGTCAAATGAACACCTGAGTAGCTTATTATTTTAAAAAGCCAGGTAGCTCCTTGTCATTTCAAGGGTGTAAATAAAGACAAAATTTGTCAGGAGGTTGTACAAATGGTCCTGTATTGCATAGCAGGCAATGCAGCCATTCTTATGTTGTATGTCTAGACTCATCACCTTCATTTACTTTGGCTTGTAATTTCCACCTTATTCCTCATTTATTAGTGAAACTGCCTTTGCAAAATTATAACTGAGACAGTGAAAGAGATCTAACTTAACCGACTCTGTCTTGTGTCTAATCTCCAAGCTGTCCTTGTTCGTTCCTGGGCATAGGCTGAACTAACTTTGGGAGAAACTTAGTTTATAGTTTGAATTGGAGGGACGAAGATTGCAGAGATGAGGAAATAAATTAGGAGTTTATAATAATCTATTTGTGAAATAAAACTGAAAAGGAGGGATGAGATTGGAACAGAAAAGAAAGGCAATAAGAGAATGCAACTGAAAAATCAGTAAGACTTAACCAGCTTTGGGAGAAACAGTTTATAGTTTTTCCCAAAGTTATAGAAACAGCCCTGTCCCAAAGCAAAACCTCTCGCCTGGGGACTAGATTGCCTTTGTAGAACTAACATTAGCACAAGATTAGAAATTATGGTTTAGGAATCATGCTTGTAGCTGGAGGCTACAAGATTCTGACCCTCCCTAAGCTACTCTTAAAATCAGTGCTTGAGATATTCTGCAGACCCTGCACTTGATGGAACCATTGGCACCACCCAGATCAATAAACTGGCTCATCTGACCTTGTGGCCCCCCCACCCAGGAATTGACTCAGCACAGATGGACAGCTTCAACTCCCTATGATTTCATTTCTCACCAATCAGCACTAACTGGCTCACTGGCTTCCCCCTACCCAGCAAATTATTCTTAAAAACTCTGATCCCGGAATGCCTGGGGAGGCTGATTTAAGTAATAATAAAATTCCTGTCTCCCACACAGCTGGCTCTGTGTGAATTACTCTTATCTTTTGTAATTCCCCTATGTTGATCAATTCGTTCTGTCTAGGCAGCCAGTATGGTGAACCCCTTGGGCAGTTGCATTAGTGGTCAAGTCTTACTGATTTTTCAGTTGCATTCTCTTATTGCCTTTCTTTTCTGTTCCAATCTCATCCTTCCTTTTCAGTTTTATTTCACAAATAGATTACTATAAACTCCTGATTTATTTCCTCATCTCTGCAATCTTCGTTCCTCCAATTCATTCTTTATGATATTGCAAAATTAATTTTTCTAAAACACTGTTTCCAAATGTTTGCTTGCTGAAAAATACCAAAGAATTCATTTGTATTATAAATGCGATTGCAAACTCAATTTATTTTTCAAAATGAAATGACATAAGTTTTAATGTCCTACATGAACATATAATAAGGCAAGCTGATGTATTATGTTGCCAAACACTGCTATTTATTGCTTCTATTTCATATATGCGGTTCTACAACCCAGACTATCTTATCTCTGTCTTTTAACTAGCTGTGTGTTCTTACATAAGATCTGCAGACCTCGGTCCTCAACTGCAAAAGCATATTGATTAAATGATTACTGTTTTTACCTGCAATACTTTAATTTTTTGATTTGGGGATTAATAATGTAAAAAAGACTAACATGTCTGTGGGATTACAAAACTGTGTTTTGTTAGCCTTCAAACAACTATGAGCTACATTAGGGTAGGAACTCTGTCTTATACTTACTATTCTGCTATTAGTACTTAACACACTGCCTTGAAAGAGCTGATAGCTACTTAAAAACTCTGCTTAGATAAAAAACCAAAACAAAAAAAATTAAACCAAACGTACTTACTCTCCCATAGCCCATGGTGGACAGCAACATAAAGGAGGAAAATGTTTCTGCTGATCTTTGGCTTCAAGGATTAATACCAGATTTGGATACCGGTTAGTTAGATAATTGGTAAGGAAACCCATAAAGTTGTAAATTACATAAGCTTCATAGCATTCTCTGCAGGTATCCACATATATTGCAATGCTGGGATATTTCAACGCTATCCACTAAGAAAAAGCACAGAGGTTAAAGATTGTTGCAGCTAAGATAAAATGAACCACCATTCCATTCATGGTACTCACAATAAGCTAACTTTTATGCTTGAGATGTCTTGTCATATATGAGACTCTCTAAAATTTATCATGAGGGCTATCAAACAATCTATGAAATGAATTTTTAAAAGCAATAAACATCTTAGCTATTGGTAAACAAAAACATAAGTGGGGGTAAATAATAGAGAAGTTAAAGTAAGTACTTGAGTTCTTAAATCTGAAGCTTTTCTTAATACGATCACAGATAATGCTGCTAAAGATATTTCCTTTATATTTACTCAAATTAGAAGCAGTCATCTATAACAATTTCATGTGTATCCACTGGGGAAGGTTTTTAAATTTTTGGTTCAAATAAAAGACTTAATAAAAAGCGTGGTAATATAATTTAAAATATTACATTCTTTACCAACCTGAAAGTTTAAAAGAAAGCAAACAGCTGTAGATTTTTAAACATTTAAAATATCACATTTACATTTTTAATTATCATAATTTATATTCTCTATCAACATCAGAAACAAGGGAACCTTTTTACTTTTCTTATTAATCTGACTCCTTATTGTCAGTAACATACTTTCATTACCTTAAGCATTCTGTAAGTATAGCTAGTATCATCAAGCAAGTTTAGTTAATGAGATAAAAATGAAACATACTTACACTATCTAAACTGTAAATGGGTACCATCCAAAGAATCCTATTGAAAAAGGAAACATAAATTTAAAAAAAATTATGTCATGTTTATGAAATAAGCCAACACAACACTAGTGGAATCAAATATATTGTTTTACCTCATTATTGGTTTTTGTAGTTCGGGTTGTGTATAATGCACTAAGTGTTGCAATATCTCCCACAGCGATATAGGTATAGTCAACAGCAAAAAGATCCCAGCAATAAACCAAGCCTTGGTGTGTATTCCAACCTTAAGAAACAAAATAACATGTTAGTATAAATTCTGATATTAAAATGAAAGAGCTTGGCTGGGCTCGTCCTTGTGTCTATAATCCTAGCACTTCGGGAGGCCAAGGTGGGAGGATGGCTTGAGGCCAGGAGTTTGAAATCGGCCTGGGCCTACAAAGTGAGACCCTGTCTTTAGGAAAGAAAAAAAAAAGAAAAACTGAAAAACAATTGGGGGAGTAGCCTTTTATACTAACTTGTAATCTTGCCTTGAAGACTAAGATTTTTTTTTTTTTTTTTAAAGAGGAATAGGTGGGTATTTATTTCTGATGCTTGAAGGGTTGAGCAGTTTACAATTAAAATAGAACTGAGGTCTACAACTTTAAGTATCACTGTTTCTTTTCTTTTTTTTTGAGACAGAGTTTTGCTGTGTTGCCCAGGCTGGAGTGCAGCGGCGTGATCTTGGCTCACTGCAACCTCTGCCTTCGGGGTTCAAGCGATTCTCCTGCCTCAGCCTCCTGAGTAGCTGGGATTACAGGCGCCTGCCACCATGGCTGGCTAATTTTTTGTATTTTTAATAGAGACAGGGTTTTGCCATGTTGGCCAGGCTGGTCTGGAACCCCTGACCTTAAGTGATCTGCCCGCTTCAGCCTCCCAAAATGCTGAGATTATAGGCATGCGTCACCATGCCCGGCCCAGTTTCAGTTTTGAATAAGACTTTTTCTTCCTCTACCAGGGGCCAAAGATAAAAGGTAGAAAACAAAAGTATGGAGAACAAATGTAATTTTACAACAATAAATTTCTACAGTAAAATATATAGAATGGGTGGGTGAGGTGGCTTATGCCTGTAATCCCGGCACTTTGGGAGGCTGAGGCAGGATAACTGCTTGAGCCCATGGGTTCCAGACCAGCCTGAGCAACATGGCGAGATGCCACCTCTACAAAAAATAAATAAGCCAGGCGTGATAGCATGTGCCTGTAATCCTACCTACTAGGGATGCTGAGATGGGAGATTTGCTTGAGCCCAGGAGGTCAAGGCTACAGTGAGCCATGATTGTGCCACTGTACTCCACCCTGGGCAACAGAGTGAGACCCTGTCTCGTAAACAAAAACAAAAAGCCAATACAAAGTCTTGCTGATTGTGGGGGTGTTAAAGCAGTAAATTAAAAGCAAATATATGGAGGTGAAGATTCTAAAAGGAATGTCTGAGTACTCTTAGCACAGAGCTTTTTGCTTTTATCCATTTCATTTAAAATTGAGTACAGTAGTCTCCACTTATATGTGGGGGCTAGGTTCCAAGACCCCCAGTGAATGCCTAAAACTGTACATCGTCCCAAGTCCTATATGCATATACTATGTTTTTTCCTATACATACGTATTTATGATAAAGTTTAATTCATAAATTGAATACACAGTAAGTGGTAACAACAATAATAGAACAATTATATATTGTAAAAAGTTATTTAAAACTTATAAATTACTTATTTCTGAAATTTTCCATTTAATATTCTCAGACCATGGTGGACAACAGGTTACCGAAACCAAGGAAAGTGAAATTTCAGTAACGATCGAAGAAAACAGTAATAGCATAAGCATATTCTAGATTGGCTTTATTATAAAGTGATCATTAAGAATGGTCCTGCAGCCAGGCGCAGTGGCTCACGCCTGTAATCCCATCACTTCGGGCAGACAGCTTGAGCCCAGGAGTTCAAAACCAGCGTGGGCAACATGGTAAAACTCCATCTCTACAAAAAACAGAAAAAAATAGCTGGGTGTCAGAGAATCACCTGAGCCCAGCAGGTCAAAGCTGCAGTCAGCCATGATCATGCCACAGCACACCAGCCTGGGTGACAGAGCGAGATTGTGTCTCAAAAAAAAAAAAGGAAAAGTAAAGGAAAAAAAAGTATTGCCAAGTAGTTGCTTTTTTTGATTGCTTCAGTTCCAAAAACTAGAACTTGGTTTTACGTGTGCTTGTGACTAATGAAGGTCAAGTCTCCACAGTGTGCTCTAAGGTAGAAAGTTGTTTTTGTTTTTTAAACAATCATAAAACAAGTGACTAGAGACTTGGTCACTGCAGGTCAAATTTTAAAATCCTGTACCACATAGTATCATTTGTACATGGTAAATGGTAATTTAGTTTCAGAAAGACATCATCTCTCCACATTAATATCATTAATTTTAATTATTGGTTTTACGGTTGTTTTGATTTTTGAGCTATATAAAAGCTACATGCATAAGAAATTTAACCAATTTTATGTGTGTTTATATTTAAGTAACATTATAATAGAATAACTCCACTAGGTATCTGCAGAAATTATCAATATAATTCTTTAATTTTATGTTTACCTCCAAATAATTTATTTAAATTTGACACACAATGATATAGATACTAGCAGTATTATTCTTAATCTTATCAGCCACGAGTTGAGTTTTTTGGCTTACGAAATGAGGAGGAGATAAAGAGAGTTTTTTTCTAGGGTAACTTGAGGAAAGTAGAGAGGAAAGAAAAAACCCTTAAAGACAAGCATCCAAGAATAAGTTAACTCTCCCTCAGCAAAATGCTTCAAAACAAATAGTGGAGATGAATAGGAGAGAGTGCTTTCTGGGCTCAGTCATCCTGAGGGGAAAAAGAACTGACATCTGGAACTCCTAGGGCATGAGGATGAGTGGGATGAGGTAAACAGACTACAGAGCAGCATGCCATCATGTGTGAATTAATTTCAGGTATATGTGGTCAGCCAAATAGTTTCAACAGTATAGATGGTCATCCTACCACTCCAATAAATGAGTATATGCTCCACCATAGGCATGTGATGAGCTTTCAGAACTGTGGGAAAATAAATTTCTGTAGTTTAAGCCACTCAGACTACGGTATTTTCTTACCACAGCCTGAGAAGGCTAAGATAAACTCTCACATTTGTATCTTCAGGTCAAATCTTTTTTTTTTTTTTGGGACGGAGTTTCGCTCTTGTTAACCCAGGCTGGAGTGCAATGGCGCGATCTCGGCTCACCGCAACCTCCGCCTCCTGGGTTCAGGCAATTCTCCTGCCTTAGCCTCCTGAGTAGCTGGGATTACAGGCACGCGCCACCATGCCCAGCTAATTTTTTGTATTTTTAGTAGAGACGGGGTTTCACCATATTGACCAGGATGGTGAAACCCCGTCTCTACTAAAAATACAAAAAATTAGCTGGGCATGGTGGCGCGTGCCTGTAATCCCAGCTAATTTTTTGTATTTTTAGTAGAGACGGGGTTTCACCATGTTGACCAGGATGGTCTCGATCTCTTGACCTCGTGATCCACCCGCCTCGGCCTCCCAAAGTGCTGGGATTACAGGCTTGAGCCACCGAGCCCGGCCCCAAATCTTTTTGAACATTAGATGTGTATAACCAGCAGTATATCTGACATGCCTATTGAATGTCTCTTATTAAACTAATTGTCCATAACAGAACTCAATTTCTTTTAAACCTGTTCCTAACTCTCAATTTTCTATCTCAGTAATTGGCACCACCATTTACATAGTTGTTCAAACCAAAAACTTCAGAATCATCTTTGATTTCTTCCTTTCACTCATTCCTTCTCCTCTGGAACCCAATCTCCGGCCAAGTCTTGTTTGCTCACTTCTAAGGACACTTACAATTCAGTTTTCCATTTCTATTCCTGCTGTCCTTACTGGGGCCATAAACCATCAATAGCCCAGGCACCCACCACCTCTCACTACCATAAAGAGCTTTCTGACTTCACTTCACTCCCACTTTATTTTCCATAGCTGGTAGAGTGGTCTTTTGAAGTTATGCAATTAGATTGCTTTGCCTGTTAACTTCTCAGATCTTTTCTGGTTTCTTCCACAGAATTTTATACAATTTTATTGACATGTTTTTGTTGGTTCCCTTTGTCTCCACCACTAGGTGCTATGGAGATAAGTGTTCTCTCATACAGTATACAAAGCCTGATTTATCACTGGGACTCAGTCATGTATTCAAGTATTAGTCATTTGGGCAGAAAGGGGGAAAGAAAACGGAGTAAAATATGTATTGTGGTAGATGGTGGTAAGTCCTATGGAAAAAAAAAAATAAAGCAGAGAAAGGAATATGAAGAGTTAGGGAGGGGAAGTTTACAATGTTAAATAGTCAGGTGATATTTGAGTAAAGACGTGAAGAACATAAAGGAATGGGAATAATACCTAGGGAAAGGACGTTCTATGAAGGGGAAACTTTGTGCAAAGGTTCAAGGAGGGAGCATGCCTGGGATTTTTGAGCAAAGCCATGCAGTGGAAGCCTAGGACTTGAAGAGAAAAAGTCAGAGGGGGATCAGGTGGGAGTGGTGTCAGATCACGTTGGACCTTGATGGCCACAGTGAGGAATACTGGCCTTTAAGACTAGAAGTGATTTAAGAGGACACACCTAATGGGCCATATTTTAACTGGTTACTCCTCTGGCTGGTGTGTTGAGAAGAATCCAGGCAAGACATGCTGAGAACTTGGCTTAGGATGTTAGCGGTACAGATTGCAGATTCAAATTTTTCTTAAAAGCCAGTGGCACCTAAAAACTACAGTTGAAACTAACAACTAAGAGAAGCCTTAAACTGCATTGATATTATGCATATTACTAACCTTTAAAGTAATTCCTATACCATATACCAAGGAAATATTTCAAAGTAAGAAAATCCCGTTTGTATTAAGATGCTTATACCTAAGTTTTTACAGACAAATTGTGAGAATAATCTAAATATGTAACAAATGGGAAATATTTAATGTAGCAGAATATTACGCGGCCATTAAAATAACTATATGGACTATGCTAGTATGGGAAAGTCAACAGAAAATAATTTAGTCTAAATAGAGAACACAAATGTATATTAAATACAGTTTGCTTAACTATGTAAAAATCATTTCCACAATAAAGACGGGCCTAAAATAGTCATGGTCTTGTTATAGTTGTTGTGATAGGTGTTTCTCTGTAAAAGTACTTGCTGGGTTATATTAACCCCGAATTTAAAGTTCATTATATAATATTTATATTGGAGTTATTTACCTTGGGGTTTTCCAGCTTGTAGAACATTACTGATGTCACAATAAGCATATGACATCAAAAATATATATAAGGGACTTTCTGCAAAACCTTTGTTGAGTAAGAGTTAATTTCCACAGTAAAAACAAACACTAAAATTAAAACAACTAGAATCCTTTGATTCAGGAAGCTAGTTAAAAGCTAATAAAATTCAATACATGGTTTTCAAGGTAGTTTATTTGACCTACTTTAGTCCAGTATCTGAACAGATCAGATTTCAGGAATAAAATTACCTTTCAGGGAACTGATGAATGCTTGCAAAACGGTGCCCTTCTAAGCAGCTATATCAATATATTCTATTTTCTCGACCCGGTCCAACCTCCACCTGTAGGGTGACTTGAAGAACCGTGAACAAGAAACTAGACAGGTTTATATCCTAAGAGTGGGCTCGTTTACACTAGATGGTTTTCGGGATTGCCAAGGCAGAAATGGGGGAAGGGTGTCTCCTTCCCAATCTTAGATGGGTAGAAGAAAGTGTAGAGGCTAACGGTGCAGAACCCTCTTACCTCCAGTTTCTGTAATTCCCAGACGCATAGGGGAACCGCAACCACTATGGACACCAGGTAGAGGACCACTGCTAAAGGTCGAATCCACTGTCTCCAGTTCCTCCAGGTACAAGTGCAAGGCATGTTTTCGCACAAATCAGATCCGGTTAGCAAGGGAAAAAAGCTTGAAAAGATTGGAATGGGGAGCCCTGTTCTCTGGCTGTTTTGCCAACTCGCATACTACGGAGAAAAAGCTGTCGGGCGACTTTACTAACAGCACGAGCCGCCTCCTGGACCGGCGCTGTGTCTTCTGCTGCTGCTGCTCCTGCAAATGTGGCCGATCAGGGTGCTATCAGGGAGCAGTGCGGGCAACATCCTTTCTTCCCTACTCCGCATCTACTCGGTTCTACGGCGGTGGAATCCCACGCAGAGCCGCTGCCCTCACCTGGGGATCGCCCTGAGGTCTGCCTGCACCATGGCTTCCAGAAGGGCAGCGCCGACCAGGAACCGGCCTCTAGGGACCCCGCACACTCCGGTTCTGTCTTGCAGCTGCTGTTCAGTCGCTCTTTTCTTTGGGGATCGAGCTCCCGAGCTCCCTACCTCCCGCACTGGCAGGCGTCTCTTAGCGCGATTCCGCTAGTAGGTAAAGCCCTAGCACCTCCTCACTCACTCGCACGGGACATCCCCTACAGCGGAACCCAAGGCCAAACCAGGACTTTCGGCTATTTTCCGCTTCCGCCCCTGCTGTCTGAGGTAGGTGATTCGTCGTCAGCGCCAAACTGGACCCGCCCCATCCGGCTCACTCTGCGCTCTCTGATTGGTCCCCTGCGAAGGCGGGCTGCAGGATTGCGTACCTGGGTTAGAAAGAAGAGCAGGTGTGTGGAAGTGGGTGGAGTTGCCGCAGGTGGTTCAGTGGGTTGTTACGAGGATTCTGGAAGCTTCAGGAATTGTTTGAGGACACTTGAGGCACACCTACTACAGTCTTCTGCTGGCGTTATTCCAGCTCAACGAAAACTTGGGGTAAGGGCGGTTACTTCAGAGTTGGCCTGGAAGAGAGAAGGCCCATCTCTACACAAAACATCTCTGATTCAAAAGCCCGCTGGATTAAGGAGACAGGGAAGAATGGGAAATCGCCACCTAGTTTTCTGTCAGTTGCTAGAATCTAGGGGCTGGGTCCCTTGGTTATTTCTGATTCCTACAGAGGGATCATTCTAAAGGTAGCGTATTTTTAGAATTAACTGCAAATACAGAATGTCCTTCCAACATTTGGAACTTGTGTTAAAAAATTGTACTCATTTAATTTTTTTTTTTTTTTGAGACGGAGTTTCACTCTTGTTACCCCGGCTGGAGTGCAATGGCGCGATCTCGGCTCACCGCAACCTCCGCCTTCTGGGTTCAGGCAATTCTCCTGCCTCAGCCTCCTGAGTAGCTGGGATTACAGGCACGTTCCACCATGCCCAGCTAATTTTTTTGTATTTTTAGTAGAGACGGGGTTTCACCATGTTGACCAGGATGGTCTCGATCTCTTGACCTCGTGATTCACCTGCCTCGGCCTCCCAAAGTGCTGGGATTACAGGCGTGTCATTTAAGTTTTAAAAAGTTGACGTCCCAGCAGACAAAGGAGTTTTATATGCTTAAAGCCTTTAGCCAAACCAGTAGAGCAAACCAATATCTGCTTCTCAATTACATATACAAATGCGTTTTATATTATAATTGTCTTTTGCAGGGGGATAGGCACTGTTCTGAGTTCATTACCGACATTATGTAAGTTGTTATGCACAAAAATTTTGAGAGGTAGGCATTTTTCCACTTTACAGATGAAAAAGTCAAGTGGCTAATTAATTTGCCCAGGCTCACTGAGCTAGTTAAGTGGTAGTGTGGAGATACTAAGCTTGGTCTCTCTGACTCCAAAGGGTATTATATTTGAGCATTTGACCTGCTAGTACCTGCCACCTGGGGAATTTCTGCCTAATGACCCTATGGATAAAGAGACTTGCAACACTGAGTACACCTAGCTTAGGATTCTCACAGAGACACGGGATGAATATCATGAGCCCTTTTGGAGCTTGTCTTCTGCAGCCTACTTCCCAATCATTAACATCTGTATTTTACAACCTGACCCAAACTGCTTTCTACCAGAAAAATAAGTCTTTTGTTTGTTTTTCTAAGCTAATTTTAAAAACTGAAATTAAAAAACAATTCCTGATCATCAAATTAATGCTTGCTCTATTGTTAAAGTTCATAAAAGAGAAGAATAATGAAGAGAAATTTAATCTTACTCTACAGCCAAGTATAACTACTCTTTACTTTTTTGATACACAGTGGAGGTAGCTTGGATAGGCTGTATGCATAGATTGTCTCTGTGCTTTCAGCTACCTATAATCTTCCCCATTCTTTCTCATGGGCAAACCTTTTTCACCTAACTTGTGAGACCTTCCTTTATTTTTGTTTCCCCAGGTATTCTTACAGCATTCATATGGTGTTATAATCATTTACTTTTTTGTCTTGTTTAGATTTTGAGTTCCCAAAGCAAAAATATAAAACCATTAGAAAAAAGGAAAAGAAAGAAGAGATGAGACAGATGCACAAATGATTTCACATACCAGTTTACAAACTGGAATTTTCTATGGTGAAATTTCTTCAGATCAGCAGAGAAATTAAAAACAAAATTACAGATTATGTCAAATCTGAAAATAAAATTCAGAATGCTCCAAAATCCAAAACTTTTTGAGTGCTGATATGATGCTCAAAGGAAATGTTCTTTGGAGCACTTCAGATTTTGGATCTTCAGATTTGAGATGCTCAGCTGATAAGTATAATGCAAATATTCCTCAATTCGAAAAACTCTGAAATCCAAAATACTGCTGGTCCAAAGCATTTCAGATAAGGTATATGAATTTTTCATTTAGTTATATTTATTCACTCTTAAGGACCATGTTTTATTTTGAAATTGTGTATCCTATTTTTAATATGATAATAGTAGTTGTTCTTCAATTGTTTTAACTTTGGAGAATAAAAGGTTGATAGCTTTATTTACCCACCATCTGGTTCATTTTTTCTCTTGACCTGTAAGATCCTAAAGTCTAGTAAGGATAGGGAATGACCACTGGTCTCAGCAGCCATAATGCTGGTATGATGCTAATCTGCTTGCTTTGCTTGCTATAGGCATTCTCTGCATTCTTTCTGGATATGACTTTGTCTAAATCTGAGGGTGGATCTGAGCTTGAAGGTGTTTGAAAAATAAGAAATGGTTATAAGTGGCAGATGGTGCTAGGGTCAAAAAAAAAAAAACAAAAAAACAAGCTATTAGCCAACTTTGATGCAAATTATACAGGTTAATTGAGGTTTGTTACTACATCACATGAAAATAGGTGGAATTTGCTATCCTTGAAAGATAAGTTTGGATTAACCTGAATGAAGATAATAGATTAAATGCACTTTGAGGGATCCTGCGGGGTAGGCACTGTTAATCCTTTTGGCATGTATCTCCATTTCTCTATAAATATGTCCATTGTAGTTTTAAAACCTGGCTGCAACTTTTTTGACACTCTTCTGATAACAAGATAGAGTCTGTGTTCCCTCTCTTTACATGTATGTGGGCTTGTGACTGATTTTAACCAAAGAAAGTTGGTCAAAGTAGTCATAGTCACCATATGTGACTTCTGAGGTTAGGTCATAAGAGGCCATGCAGTGCCACCTTGTCTGCTGGAACATTTCCTTTTTGAAATTCTCAGCCTTCTTGTGAGACGTTCCACTACCTGAGGCTGGCATGTTGTGAGAAAGCCCAAGACAGACAAAGGCCCTATGAAGGTAACACTGGTCAACAGTCACAGCTGAGCCCAGGCCTTGAGTCAGCCCAGCCTGGGTGCTAGTCATGTGAGTTGAGAAGCTGAATCCAGCTCCTAGGCATTCTCATTGCTCAGCCATTTGGGTCATTTCAGCTGAGGCCCTTATCATGTAGCCAGAGACAAACCATGCCGCTCTGCTTTGTCCTAAGTCCTGACCTGAAGAATTCATGAGGGTAATAAAATGATTGCTGTTTTACTTCACTGAGTTTAGGGTTGTTTGTTACACATCTCTTCCAGTGAATAGATAAACTGTTGTTTTTGGTGTATACATTTATATATTGTCTAATCTGAAAGAAGTTTCTTGCTTATAGTGACTTTATTTTTGCCTGTAGCCTACATTCAGTCCATTAGGTTTTTCTTTTTTTAGGGATGGGTTGGCTCCAGAGTCTGAGATTGTGCTAACTAATCCATGAGTTAAGTGAGTTTTAGATTTAAAGGTTGTAAGCATGCAAGGGAGAAATCTGAGCAGGTCTTTACAGTATGCTTAATTTTCCAACGTTTCCGTTTTTCTCCTTTCCAACAAATAGGAGGGGAAATGGTCTGCTATACACCAAATGAGTGAAGAAAAAAATAACAGTAGTATAAGTGGTAAAATCAAACTTTCAAATTGGAATCTTGAAGCTATTTCTGTCCATATCTAAGCTTCAACTTTACCATGTATTTCAGGCTACCTTTTAAACTTCATTGAAGCAGACACCATGCCTTATTCATCTCTACTTCCCTCCCCTTCCCCTTATCTAAAACAGATAAAGTTGGATTGACATGTATCACCATATCTCTGTTTGTCTTTATGTACATTCTACCTCATTCTTAGGGAGATTTCTCAATTATTTGGGGGTAAAGACTACATTTGCATTTATAAATTTTTGTAAATTTAGCAAACATTAAATATGAACATTTGTTTACCTTGTTGGTTAAAATAAAAGAGAATTAACTGACTTAGAAAATTTTTTGAATATTTCGTATCATTTTGTTTGTTTAATGGATCTGATGATTCAGAGCAGGGGTTGGTAAACTACATCCTGCAAGCCAATTCTGGTTTGCAGTCTATTTCTGTATGTCCATGAGCTAAGAAAGGTTTTTAACATGTTTTTCTAATAGTGGTAAAATATCAATAATGTAAAATTTACCAGTTTAATCACTTTTAAGTGTATAATTCAGTGGCATTAACTGCATTTACTGCATTTACATTGTACAACTATCATCCCTACCATCCCCAGAATTTTTTCATTACCCCAAAGAGAAAATGTGTACTCATTAGCCCTTGCCTCAGGCCCCGGTAACCATTGTTCTGCTTTCTGTCTGTATGAATTTGGCTATTCTTGATAACTCATGTAAATGGAATCAGATACTATTTGCCCTTTTGTATCTGGCTTATTTTATTAGCTTAATGTTTTCAAATTTCATCCATGTTGTATCATACATCAGAATTTCATTCCTTTTTAAGGCTGAATGATATTCCTTTATATGTATATGCCACATTTTGTTTATCCATTCTTCTATTGAGATGACACTAGGGTGGTTTCCACCCTTTGCCTATTATAAATAATGCTGCTATGAACATGTGTGTATGAATATCAGCTCAAGTGCCTGCTTTCAGTTGGTTTCTACATTTTTAAAGGGTTGTAAAAGAATATTTTAAAATATTTACTATTGAACTTTTAGAGAAAAAGTTTACTAACCCCTGATTTAAAGTAAATTTTAAAATTTTGATAAAGGACTAATATGAAGTTGCCGAGTAAATCTTTCCATAAAGTTCATTCATTTCTTCATGAGGAAAATGATATTTAAATCTTAGTAGAATTTCTCTAAATATTTGAGGAGCTCTAGTTTGGTCCCAAGACCAACACTGAAAATTACTGCTTTCTTTTTGTCTTTAAGTAAGAA